TTTATAAGAAAGCTCTAGTCGAAATGTAGGGCTATTAGTCTATAGAGAGTGCACTGACTCAATACTATTACCGAGTATAAGGATAGAAGTATACCCTGCCGAAACCCATGTTTAGTTCCTGCCCAGGTTCCTCAGTGCTCTTAACGATCGGATGTGCGACAAGTAGGGCTCCGAAATGAATACGAATAATGTGAATATTCATGAATAAATACGAATATGAATAAGTCTTGGCGAGTAAATGCGAATATAAATATGGGCTCTATTCACATAGGCAGTATTCGTGAATATTCACAAATATTCACATAAGTGGGTCGCTCAATAGAAGAAGGTAGCCGCTCCCCATAGTTATTCCTAGATAGAAAACAACCAGTTTTGGGTGGGCTTAACCACCTAAATCTGCACCTACCTTTCGCACCTCCTAACTACATCAAATTAATGGAGATTAGATACTTAATAGATTGTAAAGTGGTTGCAGGACACGACACAAGCTTCTTTGGGGTATATTCAAACATTGATCAGCTTGTAATGGATCAAGATCAATGTCGTCGCTGATAATCGGAACGGATTAACTGTCCGCCGAACCGGAAGTGAATAATGTGAATACGAATATGAATAAATATTCACTTTATTCGTATTCACATAGGCGAATATGAATACGGGTCATATTCGTATTCATTTATTCATTTCGGAGCCCTAGCGACAAGCTCTTCGATGAAACGGTCAAAGCTGCCTGTATGGCTGCTGGTTCCGTTTGACGACGAAGGCCATACCGTTTATCAGTGTAAGAGTCTGCTCCTGTTGCGGGATTTTAAACAATGTGCCTGCGCAATGCTACAGAGACTTGCAAAACCGGTTTCCACCAGAATTGCAAAATTGGTTGTTTCCTAAATGTGGAGCCACTAGTGGGAGCATAGCATTCGCCAGGTTGAATTACCATACACCGCGATTCCACCAATCGTGCTTGCCCATGCTGGTCGACATTTCTAGTCAAAACACAGCTTGACATACAGTCTTCGTTATGACTCCCCACCACATCGAGCACCACACGGCATAATTCTGTTTTTATCACACGGAAGAATTGTTCCGCTTATAGTTTACATTATGTTCCCTACCGGACTGTGGTATAGTACCATGCTCTACGAGCAACTTATTGGTGGATTGATATGTTTGTCAACGGCGACAACTCTATTCGCAATGGATGTTAAGGTCCCGCCAATGATCTTCAAGTGTAGTAGGAGACATTTGAGCATTAACTTAGGGCCTCTTCAACCGAGGCCATAGCTAGCGTTCACGCGTCTACTATCACGGCGCAACCTAGAATAGGAAAGATTACTATTAAGGGTGTAATTATAATATGAATTCTAAGACGAAGGAGTCTAACTAATAGTAGTGTAGTGAACGCGATAGAAGAGTGTTTACGCACCTAGCCTTGTGCGGGGTAGCTAACCTCGTATAGGAGCCTCACATAGGGTATCCCGTATGTGGTCAGCTAGGCCGTGACATAGGGCTTGTAGGCTAAGTAAGTGTAATGGCATTTGAGGAGAATCGGCCCTGTGACAAGGCTAGTCTCGAAAAATTCAACACGGGTCAGGTATAGTGCCCGCACCCGCACCCACATTTCGATATTTCACATATACTGTTTCCTCTTATTTCATCAATGCGACCACTCCAATTACTCAATTTGACAATTTTCTTGTTCTTTAGTACAGCATTTCAGGGAAAACGAAGATTTCGTTATGTTCAAGAGACCACTGACTGCTATCTCCTCGAATCACACTTTCCCCCCTAGTATTGGACAACTATCAGGCACACAGGAGATTTCCGGTCTAATGCATTCATTGATCAGAGCATAGTGGCCGCACCGTTCTTAGATTGATTTTTCGATCTTGGGCTGAGGTAGCTCCTCCGCCTGGTTTGTAGGCGTGCTATCGTGGACGTTTCGAAGCCTCCGCGCCACCTCAGGCGTCATCCTGCTGTTCATGAGCTTGTTCTTCATCAACAGAGCCGCAATAATGGTCAAGGCCCCGAAGGCGATGCTTGCGTAGTAAACGGTTTGGAACGACCTGAAGTAACCAAGCTGGGCGGCTTCCGCGCCTGCAGCGATGATCGATGGACTGATCCCAGGGATTAATCCGATGGCCGTGCTATTTCCAGTCATGATTGCTTGGACCAAGTCAAGGGCAGAAGTCTGCGAAAGTCCTCCTTTGGTAGCAGCGGCCAGGATTCGGGATGGCACTTTGTCGGTCACTTGGTTTGACAGCTTGATTCATGTTAGCTTAAGCGCAGGTCACAGCGGGGGTAGATGGGTACTGACTATGGTCACGAATATTGCACCTGCGAGCTTGGTCAGCTGAAAGGATCTTTTTCTTTGGAAACGCATGACTTACTAGCCAGACTTGACGTGATTGTTCGCAAGCTCATTTGAAGCCCGTTTGCATGTCCAATATCCTTGGCATCGACGTGTAGCGGAGCGCCGACGATGCAGACATTTTCAATGTACCCGATTGCGTAGGATGAGATGACGCTGAAAGCCAGGCCTCTGCCCAGATTTGTGCCGTTGGAAGCAGCTTCTCCACCGATAAACGCGGTCAATACCACCGTCATGAGGAAAAGTTGATATTTGATGCCGCGTTTGAGGACTGAGATGATAGGCCCAGACGTCGCAAATCCAAGCGCCACACCTCCCGTCATACTGCACTGTGAACCAGTTGTCAGTATAATGCGTAAAAACCGTGGGAAGTGTATTTTGGGTCTTACAGCAGCCCACCCCGACGCTGAGGGGGATAACTGAAAGAGGATAGACAATTGCTCCACCCATAGAATGTTGAAAGCATAATAAATCATGGATGCCACACAGGCACAGATAGTCAGCATTGCCCAGTTCCAGTTTGTTATTGTGCTGATCTCAAAGAATGGGTGGGTAAGTTTCGCAAATTTTTCTAAGGTTGCGTTAATCTCGGTCGTCAAGGTGTCAGGAACATCACTCACCCCAGACAAAGAAGACGGCAAGTACCACCACGCCGACGACTATGGTGGCGATGACCTGGGCCGATTTCCATGCTAGCTTTTGTGAGCGAGACTCTCATGCGTGCTTGAGATCCTGAGGACCTACGGTATTTTTGACCACCCCATGAGAGACCGATGAGGAGAGAGGCCGCCCCCCCAGAGTAAAGCACCATGCCGACATAATCAAAGTGCCTGATGATGTCCATCTTTGTCTGATGTTTGTGGAGGCTTCGGAACTCGGGAGGGAAGTAGCAGAGAGCCATCAAGATCAAGCCGACAAAAGTGATGATAGCTCCCGTGTTGAAGATCCAGCGCCAACCCTGTGCGGTATCGACGCAGTAGGTGCGAGCTAGCATGTATTAACTTGAAGAGACCAAACTTGCCACAGTGGCGGAGAAACAACTTACCTAGGCCGGGAGACACGATCAGAAAGGGGCTGAATATTCCAGTCACTGCTGTAAAAAACAAGAAGCGTTTATCATTGGGGACGAGCTCGCCAGGCACCGCTGTGCCTTGGAGGATTCCCGCCGTCCCAAGTCCAGTCAACACGTTCTTGAATTTCAGGTCAGCCGTTCGTTCGTGATCGGAGAAAAGTGACTTACTGCCCCGATGACTCCATTGACGGTGTTGACCCGTCCAGCAATGAGGTAGCCTAGGAAAGCAACAGTATACGCGCCAATGAAGAAATATCGGCGACCGAAGAGATCGCTCAGACGTCCAATGATTGGGAAACCCAGACTCTGACACAAAGTGAAGGAAAGAATGATCCAAATGTAGTCCGCACTCGGCCCTGACTGAGGTTAGTCCATGTCTCGAGATGCCGCTGGTCTAGCTATACAACTCACCAATGTCATCGTTGATGAAGGTAACGGAAGTACCTATCATGGGCGGAGAAGCATTGGCCATTGTCACTCCAAGTGCGAGACCCTGTGTGCGAGAATGAGAATGAGAACGTATTCCGAGATGCTTGTCACAGATGCATACCGTCGTGGTGCCCAAGAATTTCCAGTTGCGAAAATAGTGTCGTGGTAGCTCCGAGATATCTTTGCCGCCCAAGGCGCTTGGATCAATTTCATCACAAGCAGTCTCAGAAGTCGAAACATCCAAGTGCTCGATGGTGTCGTCGGTGTCGTCGAATTTTGTCATGTTTGGGTGTCCCCAACGGGTGCCGTTGTTGTAGCGTTGGTTAATACGGCCAGGTAGTACTGGGAGCATGCAGAGACTTGATCCACGCCAGGAAAGAGATGGCGAGTCCACTCTATCTTGAGAACATGGTGCTCGCAGTGGTGAAATTCTTATACTTCGGACTATCAAGCAGGCCTTGTAAGGCAATCTACCTGCGCAAGGCAGTATACCGGCATCCGGAGACTAGACTTGACCGGGGGTTTCTTCTCAGATCTGAACCAATAATCCTGCCCCTTACCAACCTCCCCAAGGCTAGCTTACTCGCGCCTACTCCAGATTCCATGTTGATTTTGCAGGCGCGGGGTACATACCATTAGACTTTCGGGTCCGGAGTTTGCATCGATGCCGGATCGATTTGGTTGAAGAGGAACCTTCTTTCTGGATGGCTAATCGGCGAGTGCCTTGTACCCTGTCTCTAATCTTTGATCGTACCCCTGCCCTGAGTGGGCCGTAGTCGCAATGGTTCCAAAAATGTCGGTCTGGTGGCGGAATTGAACGGCGTGGGGTAAAACTTGACACTACTTGTACAGAACGGGTCCGACAAGTCTGGCATTAGGACAGTTGGGGAAAAGCTTCCTCATCTCCTCCGCTTGAGACATGGATCGAGGCCTGCTGGCCGCTTACCTCTTACGTTGAAGTGAGCTTTGATCGACACTAGCTAATATATTGCCAAGCATCTCCCGGAACATCGGTCCATGCTCGGTCCCGGCGACAGTCATGAGCAATAGCCTGAGCGTCAGGAGCCACCAAAGTACATATAGATCGTCCAAGTGAGTAAGCATGTTGGAAGTTCCAAAACCTTGCTCCATCAGCTACACAAAACATGTCTCTCCAAAAAGTATCTGACGGTTTCGACAGATTTCTGTACCGTCTCTCGCATTCGAAATTTATTCGCGATCCCCGAGTCTTGCACTATGTTTGCACAGCATGCGGCACCTTGAGCGGCTTGACATTTTTCGCCGGGTTCCTGGCCGCCTCCTTCCTCCCTCCACTACCACCATACTGGTCCGCTGAGCGCACACAAGAACATTATATGCATCATTGGAATGGAATCCACGCAGCAAGCGCTTTATTCATGTTCTCTGGAATGTTCTTCATCCCTTACGTGGGCGAAATCTCACACCAGATGAGGCGTATCCCCAATATCCCATGGATACTACCAATGATTCAACTCGGAGCAGGAGCATACTCGGTCATTGGATTTCAGCTTCCTGGCATGGCGTTAGCAGCCGCAGCGCTGCGGAAGGACCGGAACCCCGAGATCTTGCAATTCGCCAATGATCAGTTCTGGCTGTTTGCAATCATGCCTTTCCAGTCATTCTGGCCTTGGAGTTGGTCTTGGGCTTACGCCATTCTCTTGGATGATCGAGAGAAGCCTTTGTATCCCAAGTACATGGCCTTGTTCAACTTCTTTGCGCCGCTGAGTTTCTTGTTTGGAGTCGCGATTCACGTGACTACAACGGGGCCTTTTGCATGGAACGGTGGCCTAGCATTCTGGATTCCTCTAGTGCTCTTCGGCCTGCAATACTCTGGAGACACCTTTTACTTGTTTCGAGCGATCTACAACAACTACTTCGAAACTGCCGACGAAGAACAAGCGCTCCCAAGCGACCACAACGGTCCTGCAAAAATTGAGTAACTCAAGACTGGTGTGTAAGAATGTTGGTAACTGGACCTTGGCACGAGTGAAAAGTTTTCATGGTACAGCGACAGGCAACGGATGGGATCAACGATGGATTGTGCAGCTGGTGTTTTGACCTCATTCCAGGTGTTCCCTTACTGGGTTGTGCACGGTCACCATATATGCATGGAGATGACCCTTGAAAGTTAGTTGAATGTCTTATTTTTTTTCCATGTAGCACAGGCCTTATGCAATCAAGGATGGCTATACTCTCATACAGTTCAGAATCAATAGAGAAATCGTGCCTGAGAATACTTGATGAGGTCTTGTTAAGCCGCGACTACGTCTTTGGGCTGAGCAAAAGCCGAATTTGGACGAAAAATGCCGCTTCCTCTGAAGGCCTACTCATGTGCGCTCTATACAACATTGCCTAAGCAGAACCCTACCGTTCTCTATTCTCGAAATCACATTGATCAGGGTCCGTTCAAAAGCTCAGGGTGACAGCCTGGAACAGGCAGTGCAGCAAATGGACCTTGTGGGAAATCAAAGATGTGGCTACTCAATACGAACACCCTTGCAGCTCCTCCTGCAATCTTTCGAACTCTGTTTGATGCTAGTGCAGGGTCTCGAACTACTTCGAGAGGCATAAGTGTAATGAAAATCTTTGTATTGTTGTGTTTCGGCTTATGTTCAATTATACGAGCCGTAAGGTCTAAATGGGCATGTCCGGCATTGTTCAGTGTGCAATCAAACTGGGAAGTCAACACGCCGAAATACTGGAAGCCGATCGCATTCAGACTGCGGAACGGTGGCGAGATGGTTCCCTCGATCGCATTCGCCTAAGCGATGATCAATGTTTCCCTGAGATACTCCACTTGTTACAACCGGTATAGTCGTATAGTCGCTGGCTGCCACGAGGTGGATGCATCCTGACATTACTAGAGCGGTGCAACTTGAATATTAAGAGAACATCTCGGGCAGATCATTCTCGCCTGACGGTTTTTCCAAGATGGGTTCAAACAGCACCCGTGGTCGCATTCTGGTTGTTGGGGCTGGCTATGGAAGTCTGTCTTGCGCTATTGAGCTTCACCGAAAGGGTTTCGAAGTCGAGGTCCTTGAATCTGCCTCGAAGCTCACCACACAAGGTATGTCGCAAATTCTGGAAGTCCGCGAAATGTTGATGCCCCAGACTTACGAAAAGGAAGGTGACATGCTACAATTCAGCTCAAATGCTAGTAGAGTTATGAGAACTTAGGGCGATTGCCTCCAGAAGGCTGTCAAGATGTCCGGTCAGCCAGACTTTATGACTATACATGACAAGAAGGGCCGGATCGTCTTTCAACCGCCTATGCCCTCTGAGTTGGGAGGCTCTCCCATTCTCTTCTCCAACCGTGGCGCAATTCAAAAGCCCATGGACGAATATGCCGTGTTACTTGGGATACCTTTTCGCTTTGGAGCCCGAATCACCGAATATCAAGAACACGATTATCATGCAAGCGTCTTGGTCCAGGGCTCTTGGGTCAGTGCAGATGCAATCATTGCAGCGGATGGTATTCATAGCACAGCTCGAAAACATGCCATTGGCATCTCTCAACACCCTCGCACCAGTGGCTTTGCAGTTTACCGAACGATATTCCCACTCAGCCGGCTGGCAGATGAACCTCTCACCGAAAAGTACACCGAAAGCTGCAAAGGCACCTTTGATGTATGGCTGGGGACTGACCCCCATGCCATTTTGTTTTCCCTGGTCGATTCGCAGACCTGTGCGTTATCTTCTCTACGCACAAGGTCCGCCAATCACGACTCCAATGATCAGTCTCTATAGCCTTTGCTAACGTGTTAGCAGGATACTTATGAAGTTGAATAAATCTGGAACTTTCCTGGAGAACTCGAGGATATGCAAAAGGTCGTCGAGGGTTGGGACTCGGTCATCTGTGCTGCCATGAAGACAATACCCAAGGATAAGCTGATTGATTGGAAGTTGCTGTGGCGCGACCTGATCCGACAATGGGCCTCACCAAAGGGCAGGATTGTCCTCGTTGGTGACGCGGCTCACCCTCATCTTCCAACTTCAGGTCAGGGCGCGGCGCAGGCTCTCTGGAGGACGCAGCTACATTAGGAGCCCTGCTCGATAAACTAGGCGTTAAAGACATGCCAATTGCTTTCCGGGTATTCGAAAAACTTAGGTATCTGACTATCGTTCTAACAACTTGGGCATAAGCTGATTCGACTCAGGTACGAGAGTACAAGCCTCACGTAACGAATGGGCGGGGAGACACGGGACCGCTGGCATCAAACAGACCGGGAGGCAGTGAAGCCGCGTCCAGAATTGCTAAGAATCCCACAGCCCGCTTGGCTGTTCGAACACGACCTCGCACATTATGCCTACAGTGAACATACGCTGGTGACTTCGATGCTTGGTGAAGCATTTTCTTGATGATTTCGCGCAGCGCAGTCCACTGCCGATGATATTGACATCCACCCCACGTCGAAACGATTCCACAGACATCTCAGCCGTTGGACCGTTGGGCCCAGCGACCCCGGCGTTGTTGATTGCAATGTCGATCTCATCAAACTTTGCAATAACCGTGTTGACCGCGTTGACTACTCCAGCTTCGGCGGCCAGGTCACCTTGAATCGGTAACGCTTCGACACCAGGCTGTCTTGTAGCCAGCAGCCTTTGTATCTCGGCCAAACCATCCGCGTTCACGTCGCGCAAGGCAAGTCTTTTTCTACGCCGTGTCTGGCGATGTTAAGTGCCGTCGCCTGGCCGATGCCTAGGGTTCACGGGATCAGGGTATCAATCCCTCACATGAGCTTAGCAGAATGTACCTGATCCAGCACCAGTCACCAGAGCTACTCCGCGTAAGAGGGTCGACATCGTTTAAAATTTTCCTTTAGCCTCAAGCAAAATCAGTCACAGACACGTGCACTGAACACTATCGGGAGTCGAATGCTGATTAGATCCCCTGATACCGAGTAAGGAATAAGATCTAGGGTGAAAGCTAGGGTCCGACCATGGTCGCAGCCACCACGCATAAGGACAATGCTGTGAAAGGTCGAGGACAAGGATTGAAAGGGCCCTAATCGAGTCTGGCGTTGACAAGGGCGTGGAATATTTTCCCATGGGGATGCAAAGCCCAGTCAGGTATCCTATTACATGCAACTGCTGATTTCCGGATGCGGACGACTCCGAAATGCCGAAGTCTCGCGGGCAAAAGGGACAACCGAGCCAGTCAGCACCTCGCAGACCTCACGACCTGTAGAATCCAGCGCCACACTCGTTCCAGATCCCATCCCATTTCGCAAATCCCGAGCAAGTATGGATTCGGCCCACGGCTCCTTCAATCTTAGGAAAGGTCACGATGGAGCTCCCACACTTTATGCCATGACTTACCATCGACGATGTGCCTCTCTGTGCGGTGCGCATAGTAGCTATGACCACCGTACAACTTTGGACATCACGAGCATAATTAACAAAATGTCATACTACTACTCCTTCTACCCGACTTTGGTAATGACACTCCACATTGCAGCGTGAGCAATCGAGTTGATGATTCGCAGCCCCACAACCTCCTAACCAATCGAGAGAGTCTAGTCCTACACATTCAAGTCAGATAGATACACCGACCCTCACACAGAAATCGTCGCTCGATACCATGGATCTCGTGAGATGCGCAGTTCTTACTGGCGTTGAAATTGTTGGCTTGCGCCAAGCAAGGCTCATTGGCTCATCTCCTGCGCTACGGCTGTCTTCTTGATTCAGTACGTTGTGCTGAAACTTTTCTACGTCTTCGTACGGCCTTTTTGTTTCTCGCCTCTGCGAAGTCTGCCTTCTGCAAAGGTTGGTATTCCTGATCTTCGTGTGGGAGAGACATATTCACCGTCTTCACCAGCACGGCAATTTTCTAGTCGGACAGACTCTCAATAAGGCCAAAGCGGGCCCTAGCGAGATTGAGACGGCCTGGATGAGAGAGTGGCCAGACGCGCCCTTCATCCCATATCTCTCTCTTTTCAACCAGGAGTGGCTCATGGTCAATAACGTCCAGGCGCCCAAGGAGGCCCTGCAGACAAAATGCTACTCTTTCATCAAGCCGCGCTATTGCGAGCGGGCTGTGGGAGAAATCGCAGGTCGGGGCATTCTTTTCATGGAGGGCGAGGAGCATAGAAAGTCTCGAAAACTATTGGTTGGTGGGTCAACCGCGACAAGTCTCATTGCTTTGACGTCTGGCCGTAAGCTGATGTTAGCGCAGCTCCGTTCTTATTTGGCAATATCAAACGATTATTGCCGTGGTTCCAGCAGAAAGCCACAGAGACGACGAGTATTATACACCGTCAGTTAAAGTCCGGCCAAGGCAACGTCATTGAAGGTGAAGAAATTCCATGTGTGTAATCTTCAACTTCTCATCAAGGGAAACAGTCTCCGATCTACTCTCCAAGGCCGCCCTCGAAGGATGTCTAACAGGTGTTCCGGACATTGTCAACCTGCCGAGGACGAATGCCCTGCCGCTCCTCGGCCAATGTTCCCTGCCTCCCCGAATAGCATGTTTGTTGATTGGATTGATCCAGCTCTTGCGGAGGTGGGACTTTATCGAACGTACGGCCAGTCTGCAGCCTTTTGAGATCAAGGTTCTCTTGTGTGATTCCAGAAGATCTGTGCTTAGCTCGAGGACCTTACTGCGGCCCTGGCCGGCGAACAAACAATTCCGTCCAACGACACCATACAAGGTCTTAATACTATCTGGTCTTCAAGCCTCTGCATCGATCACCTCCTGGGACTTTCCAAGCGTACAGGGCATACGACGGGAGATCCGAGACAAGAATGACAGTAGCATGCCCCTTGAGCCGTGGCAGCCTATCTCTCAGGCCGTGTTTGAAAAATATCTCAAAGCTCGATGCGACGAAAATCCGCCGATTGATTGTCGTTTCGGCTGGAAGGTTGAAAAGGCCAATGAAACTAATGAGGATGTCGTTCTCCGCGCCACCGAGATGGCGACGGGAGTCCGGTCCGCCATACGATGTCAGTATGTGGCCGCATGTGACGGAGCCTCGAGACGAGCAAGGCGAGACATGGGTATCCACTCGACGGCCGACCAGTGTGAGTTTTCGTGTAAACCTGTGGAGGTTGGCCAATGCGTCCAACACTTCAATTCCAGCCCAGGGTATACATTGTTGGTGCATTTCGAATCTCATGACCTTGATCGACTCTTCAAGCTTCGCCGTTTCTGGCACTTGTTTGTGTGCAATGAGCAAGGCCTTGGCAGTGCGGCCATCAGCCAAGATTATGGTCATATCTTCACCACCCATCTTCTGTTGCCCATGGACGCCGACCACGAATCAATTGACTCACATGACGCTGTGTATCGCTCCCTAGGGGGCATGAATGGCCCCTACAAAGTCGACATCGACAAAATCGTAGATCCACATATCGGCACAGCATTGCAGTGGCTCGAAGGTACCACAGTGAGAAAGGAAAGGTATTTCTGGCCGGGGATTCTGCCCACCAGAATATTCCGACCGGCGGTTATGGTATGAACATGGTCAGTACCATCTCCCAAAAAAGAGATCGCGGGTTATAATTCTTTCTGACTAAACAGGGCATTGGCGATGCCTATGCCTTTGATCTGGGTTGGAAGCTCGCAGCAACTATGAAATCCCACGCCGGTCCCGGTCTGCTTGAATCATACGAGCAAGAAAGATGCCCTGTCGCCTTATCGAGCATTCAGCGATCAGGTATCCACATGAAAAAGCACCTGGCACTGACAGAATGAAGCCGGGAGCCACACTTGGTAGACACGGACACTGACAGCGAACGAGCGATGCGACAGAAGATCCATGATCATTATCAAGCCAACAGCGGCGAAAACACAGATCTGGGCATTGAGATGGACCATCGACATCGGTCGTGTGTGTACCCACCTCCGGGCGAACAAGAAGGATCGCCCCCGGAATGATCACCCATCGCTACAGGCCTAGCACCTTCGTTGGTTGTCGCACTCCACACGTCTTCTTGAAGGATGATGGCTCTCGTATTTTCGATCATTTTGGAGATTACTGGACGCTGTTTGAGTTTGCCACAGGAGAGAACTCCCAAATGGCTGAACATCCCGAGTTTGCGCAGGCAGCGAGTACCTTAGGAATGTCCTTGAAAACCGTTGTCCTCTATGACGAAACAAATGCCAGGGCCGTATGGCAAGCGCGGTTTGTGCTGGTCCGGCCTGACGGCCATGGCGCTTGGCGTGGGGAGAACATTCCAAACCCGGAGGTTGTTCTAGACATTCTGAGGACGGTGTTAGGACACCAACCCGGCTCATTTATTCAAGACAGCGCCCAGGGAGGTGGCAACATGACAATGCCGTTTGAAACTACCAAGGAGATGACGAGATAAGTGGACAAGTACGAGCTGGAACAGATGGGTGTGATGCAAGCTTGATATTGGCGACAAAGGTATCAAGGATGCCAAGTACTTGTGGCGTTGGTGTCGTCGGAGAGAAAGTCCATGAAATCCAATCTCATATTCTAGATAGTGTCAGCCAAGCATAAACACTTTGTAACTCTAAGGTGTGCTGTAACAAACCGTCATGTCCCCGTAAAGTTCCGCATCGGGAAGTCCCACCATGGCGGCATTTGAGGGTGCGACTTCTGCCCACAAATTCTCCTTCACGTCCTCAACTTTTCGTCGCGCAATGTTGGCGATGTCTCTAGCAAATTGCACCTCCACTTGATTGGACGTTGCTAATTCAAGTTTCGCAAAATGTCGTGCGGCAACATCCAGGAGCACGACATCAAGCTGTGCTGATGTGGCCATGGGAAATTGCAAAATATTGACAAGAAGTGCTGTGACCGCCATCAATGGGTAAGCAAAAACTAGGCTTAATGCTTGTCAGTGCAGAACTCGAAGGAAAAGAATGTGCGCATTACACACCAACTTGTAGTGTTTGAATCGATTCGGTGGTATTTGGTGGCCAGGATGATATTCCTCGCAGCGCCCACCACCTTTTCACGACAATCCGCCATGTACTGAGATTGAGCTGCAATCAGGCCAGACGGAAAAGTCAGGTCATCCCATGGATATTGGTTGTAGATGGCAATCATGGATCCGTAGAAAGCGTAGTGGATATAAACAACGCTATCGATGTGAACGCCCTCTGGGATCGTAGACGACTTTGCGGGCACTCCAGGCCGAAGCCACGGAGGAAGGGAGTCTCGCCAATGGTAGAGTTCACGCTCCAATTCTGCGCGGATCACCTGTCTCTGCTCATCGCCAGAACCGCACCATGCCTTGGCTGACAAAATGCGCCTGTAAATTTTTGATGACAGCTGAGCATGGAGGATTGTAAAGAGAAAAGCATTGAATTTATCAATGTTTTCACCGGCGCGGGGTGTTGGCAGTGGACATGAGATGCTTTTGGAGCAGATGTCAGCTGGTGGACAAGAGTACATATAGTACATTGACCTACTCGTCGTCATCGATGCAAGATGGCCGCCCATCTCGCAACGATATAAGCTTATCGTAGCAGTACAGTGCCCACCAGATGCGGATTCTACGATCGGAATCAGAAAAGTGGGATCTGCGCGCCTGTCCTTGCTCATGATTGAGACCTAGGGCTTGTGCGAGCCGAACAGCTGTGGAGCAAAGTATGTATTCGACCCTGAAGGTTACGATATTCTCCGCGAAAAAGCTCTGAGCAAACACAGTTTAGAAATAGGGATGAAAGCTGAGAAGAGGCTTCTGAAAGGACTGCCCTTACCATGAGTGTTAAAGCCTGGATTCCCACAAGGTCCTTTTGCGAAGAGAAAAGAATTTGAGAATAAGCAGATAGGGCCTTTTCAAAATAATACCAGGCATGATTGTGAATGACCTTGGGATCATAGCCTTTGTCAGCCAAAAACAGACGGGACCCGAGGGCGTAGATTGTGTTGCGCAAAGCATGCCAACTGGGATCAAGATCCGGAGCGGCTTGAGGATCGAAATGTCTATGCAGTCGCTCTTCGAAGTCGTCTTGTTTTACAATTTCTGCGGGTACATTCAGCTATCGTTGGTTTCGTCAGCAGCAGAATCGATGGACATATCCATACCGAAATATGAATCTGCCCGACATTCGAAGAACGCTGAGATGCATGTCAGCCGCGATGCGAGGAGGATATTAGGAGCGGTCTACCTCGACCATATTCTCTGGCAGTCTTAAAATCCGGGTCGAGGTTCTGGGTTGGTAGTGTGTCGCGGCCGAAGCTGAACTTGCCGGTTGAGTCGAGTGCGAGACGATGGACTGTGTTAGCAATGGTCTGCTCATCGCCAGCTGTAACTCTAGCTTGTAGCCACTTCAGAGCCCGATCAGAACAGATTGCTAAAATCGCTCGAGGACCAAAACGCTCAAATGCAGCACTCTCTTGTGGCGACCACGAATGCGTGGGTTCTAGATCAAAAGGGGCGGATAGTTGATAGCTGGCCATAGGGAACTGGTCCTGGTCGACCAAGTCGGTGTCCCTGGGTTACTCCGCTTCGCTTCTTGCTGAGCCTTTACGGGGCTAGAGTGATATCCAAGGCGCAGAGCCGACGAAAGGGCGGGCACCGCAGAAGACTTGAGCACCATCGCCTAGGGGATTAAACAACGGCAAAGATTCAACTGAGGTATGAATCGAGATTCCATGGCAGCTCGGCTCACCCGCGACGCTACTGCGGATTAGGCAACTGTGACGAGCAAGCTTTTGGCCAATCAACATCACGACAATTCACCTTCCCGTCGCTTTACTTGCCTTGCTCTTGGGGGCCTCGGTCGAATCGGATCTGGCCAATCCCAAAGCATCCATCGTGTCACAGGACCCTGCCTTGCCGAGTCTTCCCAGCTCTCGCGAAGCCCCTCAAGAAAAAACCACCATGCACTCTGCAAGCCACCTGACGACTCGGGACAGGCTTGAAGCCTACGCAAGCACCATCGTGGTCTACAGGCCTGCCAAGTCGCGTCTGGCTCACGGAAGATCTGGAATGAATACCTTGACGCCGCTCAGCTTTCTGCTCCACGACATGCGGTGACGGATCTTGCAATACTGTACGGGGCATACGAGCGCCATCCCGACTGCTTCTCACCAGTACTCGGTCCCGTGACAGGTGTCAGCGGATGATCGATCTTTAGCCACAAGGATAGACATCTATCTCAATGACGGCTCTTCGCGAAGCCAGCAGATCAACCAAGAGGCAGCTACAGGCGTGCACCTATTGTCGCGAGAAAAAAGTGAGATGTAAGAATTCATGTGCCCTGATCCAGATCACCTTCCACGACACCTATGCTGATCCGTGACCCAAGGCGATGGAACGCGGCCATGCAGCAAGTGCCAGCGAGATGGTGTCGACTGTTTATTCGTGGGGAGACAAAGACGACCTATAAACAGAGCCAAATCCGACAAGGAGGAGCTTAAACAACGTATGGAGATGTTGGAGCAGCGATTATTTTCACTGGTTCAAACCAAACAAAATTCTGCCGAGACAAGTTGGGGCCTCTCATCTTCACCCAGCACAAACCCGCTCAGTTACGCATCGGCTGGGCAAGCACAATCTGCAACTGTCTTGCCGTCCCTTTCCACCTGCGATCTGAGCGATAATACTGGTGCTTCGACCACGACCTTTAACAATGCGAGCCTCCCATCCTCAAACATGACTGCTCCTCTCTGCCCGGTGGGAGCTAGTCTTGAGACATCAGCGCCGGAGCGGCAAACAGATACAGCCTCTTCCGAACTGGGCGCCGCTACTGACATCAGAATATCTCGAGCTACAGTTTTGGATCCCCCACAAGATCGCACGGACGAACCGGAAGCACACCACTCAGGCGATACAGATCCCGGCATGCCTCTTGCCTTTTCTAGATCTCCGTCGTTGGAACGCACCTCTGTGCTGGCTCCTGCGGGAATTTACTCTACAAATGGACTTGACGATGTATGTGGCTGTTAATCATCATTCAAATTCAGATCAGGCTTGGAAGCTGACTAGCTGTTGACTTCTAGTTTGAATACCCTGGTTTGTGAATCTCTCACTCGGCGCCTTTCGCTCTCAGGTGCTGATAACATGCAGGTCTGCTCTCAGTCTTATCGATTCGTTCTCCACCAGGACTGGCTTGGGTGCGAGATCAATGTGGAAATGACCACTTCCCAGCAGTTGCTGACCGACTGTATCTTGCCCTTCAGCAACGAGCCGTGGTAATGAAACCTCTGGTTGTGGAGACCATTTTGGAGCCAGATTTGACGACCGCTCTGAGCTATATACACGGTAAACTCTTGAAATTGCTTCCGTCAGCTCTTCTCGGCCAAGTATCTAACTTTCTCCAGCATTTTTCGAAAAGTCGCCAGAATCCGCACTAGTTCCGCTCAATCGCTCAGAGATCGAGTCTCGCGTGAGACGACAATCTGGGGCTGATCAGAGCGCCTCTATCTATGATCCTTGCTGGCACGCTATCCGCAATGCGGTGTACGCTGCGGGCAGTCGGATCGTGCTGTCGCGCTTGGAGTATTCATCGACCTTCGAAGACGCGCACACTACAAGCAAGAGATATTTCGACAAGGCTCTCCTAGTGCTGCCTGAGCTACTGAATGCCTCATTCGATTTGGAAGCAATCAGATCAATACTTCTTCTGGTACGCCACTCCATCAGCCTCTACTTCAAGACAAAAACTGAATCCATTTAGAGCACTTATGCAATGGCGTTGCCGAATGCATCGGTGGGCCATATCTTGATTTGTGCGGCCATGAGATTGGCGCAATCCTTAGGGCTTCATCGAAAGTTCCAGCCCGACTGTAATGAAGGAAGCATTGAATACACCTCTCGAAGCTGGGTATTTTGGTCAATCTACGCCGTCGAAAAAACCATGTCATTCTCATTCGGCCTAGATTCGGTAGGTCATGGAATTAGTTTGCCTTCCCTGAGATATGTTGACACGCCGCAGGTTGTAGATGATGATACGATTACTTGTCCCTTTCCCATGCAGGGCTCCCCAGATAGCCATCTGCCATTGGATTTTCTCCTGCATGCTGCGAAACTCGCAAAGATTCTATCAACTATATTGTACAAACTCAAGCCAAGCAGGATGTCGAGGTGCAGAACCGAGGAGCTCATTCTTCTTTTGAACTCACTGCGAGCACGACTTGAAGCGTGGAAGATGGGTTTGCCCGAATCTGTTATCCCCGGTAAAAGATCCAGCCAGTTCAAAGCACCGACTGCATGGAGCGCTAGTCACGTTGTTTATCTGCGCTGTGGCTATTATACTGCTATGCTCGGCATCCATTCCGTGCTGGCATGTCCATGGACAGCGCATTCCCTCGTGCCAAGCGCATTCGCAAGATTGAAGAAGCATATAGATGAAAGCTCGGCTATGCTTGCAGATGTTTCGAGGGACATCATCACGACCTCCGATACCATGGATACCAACGCCTCAACGCCTGATTGGTAAGTTAGGTCCTGCCTAATATGGTCTTTGCTGATACCTCTGATCCTCCAGGCAAGTGCTGCGGCTGCCCATTGTAGCAGCGGTCAACGTTTTTGTACATGTCCTCGGAAACCCCGGCGCCCCGACGTCGTCAAATGACCTTGCTCTTCTTGACATAGCTGCTGGACATCTTGGACACTTGGATTTTGTGCGTGTAATCGACACTTCCTGGCCGGTCGTCCGCGATTTGGCCAATCTTGCAAGGAGTACTGTTAAGACAGCCCGCCAAAATCACACTGCGCGAAACCCCGACTTGCACCAGCCTAGTGCTCGTGACGTCGGCTAGAACCGGACATCGACTTTATTCGGCCGACGCATGGCTCCGGCCGGATTGCTGGTTTCGGTTCTGGGATCTTATTGCGCCGTATCGGAGAAGGCATCCGATGCCTACAACTATTTGCTCGAGCACTTATAGCCTCACCTCAGTCGAGATCCCAGTGTGTCTGTACAATGATTATTTCTAGACGACTGAAAATGGCACCAATTGATGCTCCTAAGCTGACACATGCTTTCGATTTGACCATCGCCGGGCCAGCTGGGATCGAGGCCAAAGCCACCGAACACTCTGCTCGAAGCGTGGGCGTTGGTACGTTCTCGCCATCCATAGACCGTGATAACTTTCAAGTTTCTAACGCAGGGGATGCCACAGTCGCACGAGGCTCGCTGGTGTCAGCGGATGGAACAATCAAGCTTGATGTAAAGACTGGCGCTGATTGGATGACCTTGCACTCCAATTATGCTCATATCGACGCTCGCGTATCTTGCCTTTCACCAGCTGGCCAAGAACCCGCGATCAACTGTGAGATTGAATACAAGGGAATTTATTCTTTGGAGGGAGCTATGTTGGATGTGTGGGCCGGAAAAAGGGCGTCTATTGACTGGGGAGAGAGCTATTACTATACGGCGCCATTAATGGAAAGCCGGAACGAGGAACTAGCTTGGGTTAATAAGGCCGTCTTCCTTTCCATGGGAAAGATCAGAGTGCGCGATGATGGATACATCGAGGTGGTGTACCGCATATTCAAGGTCGGCTGAGTAGGTAAATACGAATGGACAAATATACATTCTTTGCACTTCGAGACTTTATCCCCCGTCGCGCGTGCTTTGATCTTCTTGCCAGTGCGTTGAAAACGGTCGAACTAAAGCTTGCAGCTTGATGTAACCGGTCCTGTTACCCTGGTCCAGAGATCCTTCACCGGGGAGTAGAAGTCCTTTTCGATGCCACTCACTGTGCCAGCCAGCGGATAAAATGCTGAATGGCATTCGCTAGGGAGCCTCACACATCATATTTACCTTGCTACTCCACTAGCTGAATTCAATCCCTGGTCTAGACATTAGCCGCCCGCAATGTTGATCTACAAAGCCACCCCGTGTCCGAGGCATGTTTCCAAACGCAAACGGCGGAGACACCAATGGGCCGGCATGCCACATATGTCCGGGTAAAAAGTACATCCGACCGAATATGGTAACGAAGCGATTACCCGTGTACGCTCTGGCCAATTATACCCTGACTAGCCCTGCAGCAGCATTCGTGCAACGAGTGTTGAGACCCAAAGTACATCACAGGTCACCTGCTTTTGAAAATAGTTGCCGCAGGCTACTTTGTCAAAAAAAGTTCACAAAAGAGATCGGCCTTGCAGCTCGAAGGCGGCAAGCAGCTTTCCACCCGCAACTTTTGTGCAGTGAAGTCTTTCTCCGCGCTCAAGTTTATTATGGAAGCGAACTTCTCGCCTTTTCGACAGGTGGCAACCAGCGTCACCGACTGGAGACAGCTGCTGGACTATTTCGAGACGGCGCGAACATATCCGAACCGACCATCTAGCAGGTTGAGGATAAAAGGTAGGAAATTAGTAAGAAACCAATTCGTGGTGCCAGACATGTAATTTAATTGGTCAAATCGACGCTTCCTCGACAGCGTCCCACAACGGAAAACTCGATGAACCAGCATTGCTCGCCAGGAAGGGTAATATTGTTTACAGATAATGTGCACGTAGGTTGTCGTCCATAACGCATCCTAAGGCCGGAGAAAATTCACCAAGCTATCATCGAAGCATGGAGCGGGCAGGAATGTGCTCCAGCTCCCCAGTTGGGTATCAAATGCAGTCATATCATCGCTCTAGCAGCATGTCAGAGATGGATTTGCTGTGGAATTTGCGAATAATCGCCGAGGATCCTTACCGGGGAGAAGATTGCCCCGAAATTATCCTGGCGATGTGAGTTTCCGCCTGAGAGTGCAGTGCCCAATAGCCCAGTCATAAACTCGCCAGCGACATTCTTTCCACCGGCATTGGATGTTGGTGCGCTCTTGACACGCTGGACGAAATTGCGAGCCAAGGCTGCCATGTCTTTGGCGAAAGGGAAGGACAGTCCGGTGGAAAACTCCACGCGAGAGAAGTGAGCAGAGCCGATGTCCAGCAGAGCCAAGTCTGACTGAGTGGTAGAGCGCTCGGGGGCTTCAAAGATGTGATGAATCGACAAGTTGATCTCCGCGCACAGAGGCCCAAAGAAAGATAGACTGTGCGCACAATGTCAACGGCTTGCACCTGGTATCCGGGTCAAGACGGGCAGCAACTCTTACAGAATTGGAGTGTTAGCATCGACGTGGATGTAGTGGGCTGTCAAAATAGCAGTCCGAGAAGCTTTGACAACGATTTCTGTCGACTTTTCGACTTGAAGTTGCACGTCTGGTGAGTCCTTGAAATTCAAAGCGGTGCGACACGATGGGTTCGTCAAGGTAGAGTAGATACCCACGACGAGGATGAAGTACAGGAGCCGAATGTAGATGGCTTGTTGGTTGCTCAGACCGGAGCTCGCGCGAGGAGGTTCCGTCGGATGCTCGAAAGCAATATGCGGTCGAATATATTCCTCAAATGCCGTTGTTTTTCGATCGAGGTCCACCACTATTGCGGCCACGGCCTGGGGAGATTGCTGGAAAGCTTGCACTGTCGAGAATTTCCTTGTCACCTGAGAGATAAGCTGAGCGAGCATGATCAAAGGAGTAGAGTAGACGCTGTTGATTTTTGTTGTCAACTCTTGAGGCTTAGGCCATTCACAGTTGATCTCTTCGTCGTTGAGCATCTGGAAGATGAAGTGTTAATCCAAGAAGGAGATTATCCATTCCATGGTGACTTACCGATGGACGACCAGATCGATGAGCCATGTTCTTTTCGAGACAGTACAATGCCCAGAATGTGCGGTTTCTTTAGCACTGATCCTGCTGGCAAATCGCCCAGAACGCAATCGCCCGCCGATGCATGCCTTTACCGCACGCCAGTCTCAAGCCTGTTGTGGAAAGCATATACTCTAGACAAGGGTTTCCCATGCAGTCGGTGAAATACGCCTACAGGAAATTGAGGCTTCAATGAAGGTTCAACAGGCAACAATGACCCAACCGTCACATACCATGACCATCAGAGCTTGAACAGCAGTCAATGACGTCCGAAAGTACACTAGCTCAGTATGTACGGAAAGTGCATTACTGAAATATATGACCAGGCATCTTGACAAACTTCTCCGAAGCTGGACATATTCCTAAATATTGGTTGCGCAGAGGCGCAGATGATGTCGTGATATTTGGAGGGTCGATCTATTTGACATTGTAAAAGCTTTGGCACTGAAGGTCGACCAGGTCAAAGGCCAGGGCAACAATAGAGAACGATACCAGTTGTCATCTGACTTCAACGAGATTGACCCACCCAGACCCTGACTGCGGTGCCATTTCTTTCGTCTGGCCTTGCTCTCCCAACCAACAAACCACGATGTGCCCCAGACTTTTACCTTTCCCCCTCTCTCTTCTCCAGGTTGCAGTGGAGCTCTCGAATCGAGTTCGGCCCGAACGAGGGTTAGACTGCCGGTTTAACTTCCGGCTCCGGGTCATTTACAATCCCGAGAACAATCGACCAAAGACTCAAGGGCCCTTACGCGTTTTGAGGCAACTTGACTTCTTCCAGAGGTTTGTCTCCCCATGACTTGTCTCCGAGGTAGAGTGCCGCCTTAGGTGTAAGCCCACACTCGAAATCTGCCATTCTGGTTTTCAGGTCTACCGGGAACGAGATGTGCTCATGAACCCACAACCATTTGCCATTTGTCTTAGCAACGAGGCCGATGATGCGATATTTGAAATCAAAATCGATGTCGTCTTTGGTCTTACCCCAATATCGTTGGATCATGGTCGCGTAACCAAACTCTTTGGATACAGCTGTGATTTCCAGATCCTTGTATCCGATTTGCGCGTTCGCAAGGTATGGGCCGATACGATCGTAATGCTCCTCGAAATCCCCTCGGGCGCCATTGCCCATCAAGTCATGGTACATCACCTCGGGAATGTCGTAGAATGCTTTGCCGGCGTCCGGATCTTTGTTGAACTGGTACTTGCAATAATGCTGCCAGTCCCGGAAGAAGTCTAGGATCTCCTGTTCCTCCTGTTTGAGTTCTTCTTTGTGCAGCTGTATGGTATCCCAGTGAGCCAGATGCACGTGTGTAAGGCTTAAGATCGATTCACGAAGAGACGACTGACCCTGCTTAGTCTCATAGAGAGATCACCGTGCAATGCATCGATCGTCGAGAGTTCCCCCTGGAAGTATTGGTGTTATCCTTGCTGATGATCTCGCGTGATACCTACATCTTCCTTGAATCCAAATTGACCCATATTGACTTATCAGAGACTGTGAAGAGTCGTCGAGTAAACCTCAGTTGAACAGTCTTTGCTCACTTTACAGATTAGAAATCACAAAGGCGAAAAGTATTAGTATTAGTACTTCATATATAAGTATAGTTCGAGCTTAGCTGCCAAGCCAAAGCACCACCTCTCTGGACCCAGACCGGAATATTAGATAGTCGGGTCACCGGCCGGACAAAGATCATCAGCGCAGGCGTGGAGCAATGGGATTTTCGAGTCTCTGAAGACATCCCCGGAGAAAAACAGTGCCGGTGCGTCCATAGCTCGTCTCCGGATGGTGGAGGGAATTCCCTCTAGGTATTCGCACTGGGCAATATCTCAGCACTATTTTCCCGGGGGAAAACCCACGTCTGTTTTAGCGCTCATACCGATTAGGCAAAGTCAAGCAGAGATGAGGAAAGTGTGGCATCGTCAGAATAGGTAAGTACCTTATGTACTGTGTCATGTCACGAAGCTGCGTGAAAAGTCTGCGTCGACAGAATCCTAGAATCCTTGAATCTGAGGACAACTCATCCTTGCCCATTGGAATTTTCTGCTGATGGACGCCGTCGAGAGAGTTATACCCGAACAGGGCGCCATTAGCGATGGCCATCGCTAGGAGGAAGCCAGCATCGTTGTAGAATAGTCTTTCGTGCTCCTTGTCGGCTGCCCCGAAGCCAGAGGATCCCATCACCGTCAGTGTCTATCCATAAATCGTCGACATCAAATCACGTACACGATGTTCTCAGGATCACGGTTATTCTTTACCTACCGCTAGTCAACCTTATACACAAGTCTCCAGCCACGGCTGTTCTTATTGGCACCGTCACGCCACAAGACGAGGTCGACGTCCTAGACTAGGTCAGCTCGAAAGTCGACCAAAGTCCAACCATAAAACATACCTTATACCGTAGTCCGTCCATGAAAAATGCGCTGAACCGGACCCGATCCAGTAGTAGACGTGGATTAGGAACGTGATCTAGACTTGGTATCGCCCGTGGATAAATATGAGGTCGTCGTACGTCCAGAGCGCGAGGAGGATACGGATTAGGTCTCGAACGGTAAAGTACGGAATGTAGAGAACTTATTCCGTTAGTGGATATCCTATAAGTATAGCGCTCTTCGCTAATAGGCCTTCGACACCCTACTAATACCTATAATACCCACCAAACTTAAGAGGGTCTTTAGTTAGTTAAAGAGGATAGTTATAGACGATCGTAATCGTCTCGCGGTGTTGTCGTTTGAAGCCGCGCAATGCCTTAAACACTAGGATAGCTGGGGACTATACCGTATTGGGAAGTCCGGAGCGGAATAATATTACTCCAGCTAATTAGATTATAGGGTTTCGATTCAATCGTCATCGATCGATCGACTACCTTGGAATGCCAAGAAAATATCGATCGATCGATTCATCAATCGATTCCTGGCAACACTGGTCAATACATCAATTCCACCATTGAGTACGCAGTATCACGCCTGACTGTGCGTTACCTTGGCAGTCCGAGGGCCGGAGAAAATTACAATCGATCCCATCAAAGAAAGCCGTTCCGGGCCATTCCAAACCATCGCCAGCCACGCTACTCAGCACAACAGTTCCAGCTCGCCACAAAATCGATGCCTCAGCTCGCCACAAGTCGACATTCCAGCTCACCGCAAAATCGATGCATTACCTCGCCGCAAATTGATGCCTCAGCTGCTACCAAACCGACATTCCAGCTCGCCACAAAATTCAACCCCTGGAGGTTGCGTAAGCTGCCGAACTCCCTGTTACAGCCATCCGCATATTATTGGTTCCAACGCCTGCATGAGCGAGAATTTCAAGCGAATACTATGGACTACATGCAATGCAGAAGAACCTCTCGTCTTCAGCTAAAACTACAGTTACCTGCTTAGCCTCATATCTGATTACCATTTTGCGACAATCTCCCTGGATCAGCGGATGTACAACCTTTCGAACGAGCATGATATATGCTTATATGCGCTCAGCCGCATCCACACTATCCTTCTACCGGTGGACGCGTGGCATGTGCCTACTACTTCTTTCGTTGGTCACGCAATGAACAAGTCAGTCCTCGCTTGTGGATACGGAGCGCTTCTAGACTTCGATGAAGAGCTGAAACCGAAGGTCGTCAGTGCCTCGAGATGGTAAGAAACCTTCTAGAAAGGTATTTAAAGAGATCACTTCTCTCCCTTTCCTCAGTATCCATTTACCCAAACACCACAAGTATCTTAAACTCACACAAAAAGCCGATCACAGTCTTGAGAACCAGTCTTTACTCCGTCTCAGCTCTCCACCACAATGTCCAACAAAATCCCAATCTTCATCGAGAACCGCAAGAATCAAGGCATTAACCCCAACACTACCGCTCAACTCCCCAATGACGGCATCCTGAGAAATTTCGAGGACCTTGAGCGCCAACCAAAGTTTAGCCCGATCCTTGCAACCCACCTCACACATAATACTCCGGGCGTGACGGTTTCGATCTCGGGTGGATCAATGGTCGGGGTTTATGATCTCAAGACCAATATTATTACAGACATCACGCGTGGTGGTGGACCGATTGATATTTCTAAGTGGAGTGTGATAGCGAACAAGCATCAGTAAAGAGATCGGGGACGGCTATATCCTGAGACAGCTGGGGATAGGGGAAATGGGTTGGGAGCCATGCGTATGCTCCACAGATTGCTGCTGTCGTTGCATGGAGAACAGAGAAAGTGTTCCTTTTTCTAACGTCAATGGTTTCCGCTCCTTGAGAGGCTGATGGAGTAGAAGATGAGGAATCAATCGTGTGTCTAGGCACTAGGTAATGGTGGCGAGGATCGAATTCACTCTTTATAACCTCGGGGCATCCTAGCCTTCTTCGCCGCTACCCCACGCTAGCACTCTTATCAGTTTCATAAAGTCCCTTTTTTTACAGCCTTGTGGGAGGAAGGAGGTTGTAAAACGTGTCGTTATTCGCACGCGAATATGGTTTTCACAATGAAACCAGTCTCTTTTATCTGGAGATGCCCTGAAAGAATTGCTCGGAGATTCACTACGTTGTTGAGAGGTACTTCCACCTGACTCGAGATGTCTGGATATCAGAGATGGCTGCGTCGCTCAATCATGATTCATCGGTCCGAATCTTCCACGCCGAAGATTCAAAAGTGATCTTCGAATTGGTTGAAGGCTCTTGAATCCTCTGAGGAATGATAACTGAAGCCGTGTAGTGATAAAAGAAGGGGAAGAGAAGGGACATTGCGCAAAAAGACTCCACCACATAAGCATCTACAAGAGTCATCCATGGCCTTTGATTTACAAAGACAGAACGGCCATAGGGTATGACCGTTTTATTTGCTGTATACTTACGCGGCAACGGTTTTCCTTACCATCAGTGGTAGAGAAAGGATAGCAGATCTCGAAAAAGAGAAGCGATTATGGGGAGAAGACTTATGCGTTAAAAAACGGTTCGATTCTGAGCAGATTAGATTCCTCTGGGCGCCTTATGTTAAGAGACGTGCCCGAATGTCTGGTTCCCTTTATCATTCTTATCACAATTAAGACGCCAGAGAGTCTTATAGGCGCTAACGTTGATGCCGGGGTTGCCCTAGGCGTGGTGGCCTATACGGAGGACAGGTCCTTGACTCACTCACTCACTCACTTCTGTAGCCAACCTCACGCTGCCGAGAAACCAAGAAATGATCTCTTTTGCCAGAAAGCCCTCATTCTCTTTCCAAAAACATAGAAAATCGCTCCAAGTGAGTACAAACCAACAATGATACCGCCGACAGCACACCACGTCTTCTTAGGTCCGTCCTTGATGAACCAAGGAACGAACCAGTACCCCATGGTGAAGGGATAGAAGTTCTTCCACGCGAACAATATAACCTGCGACTCATTTGCCCAGCTACGGTGCGCATCCACCACATAGCCAATGATGGCCGCATTTCCCAGAACAGCACCGCAGTTGGCGAGAAGCAGCAAGATGGCCAGGCCAATCCAGTGGACGTGCGTCGTATAAGCCCAACCCCAGCCAATGAACCCAACACCCGCAATGATGAGCGCGGGGAAGAGCATGACGAGTCGAAACTCGGGCTCGAAGACATTCCTGTTGCGCCTTGCCATGAACTTGGAAATTGGATCAATCGTCGCAATCCCGATACACACAGCAATGGTTATCCCAATCCACGCTGCGATGTACAGGTTTGCGAGACCAGTCGGGCTGAAGTTGTATGGTGGTGGTGCCAATTCCAGCGCCAATGTGAAGGAAATACCAACAGACCATGCCATAGGCAATGCCGCGATCGAAGCCCACAGAATTGTCGGATGCAACGCCAAGCTGAAGGTTCGAATGGTCGACTTGAGGATATTCTCATGGCCAATGACCCCCTGCCATGGATTGACCCATTGCAAATATGTCTTCGGGCGTTCTTCAGCCCCTGATCCTGGTGCCGGTCTCTCCGGCTGAACGGTGCTAGCCATTTCTTTGTGGTCGTAGTCCGCCGTATGCACCTTCTCTAGGATAACCTCTTCAGCAACGTGTGCCAGCGGATCCACATGGTTTCGTCCAAACCCGGGCTCGCGCACGAAGAAAATGAGGGCAACCAGGATAACAGCTTCTGCAATGGCCAGACCGCCAAAACACCATTCAATTCCCGAATGCAGCACGATCTGCGTTCCGATCGGGACTCCCAAGAAGACACCCGTCTGCAGGCACAAGAGGAACAACGTCACGCGGCTGCCACGCTCATGCACGAAGAACAGATCTGGGATCATAGCCAGGGACAAAGCTTCATAGGCTCCTTGGCCGATGCCAGACAAGCAACGCGCGCCCATCATGCTGTTGTACGTTGTCGCGCGAGCGGCCCAGATATCTGCTGCAACGAGCGTGGCCGTGCCGAAGATGTATATGATGCGTTTGCCGTACTTGATCGCCAATGGACCATAGAATATAATACAAGCACCAATGACGAGAAGGAGATACGAAGACAGTTGTGCGATGTCGTTGACTGTCTTGTCCCATTCGGCGGCCAGGTCGAGCGTGATGGGGGTGAGAATGGGTCCGTGAATGCCCGAAAAGACCGTGCCCAGGATGATTATCCAGTACATCAAGTCGCGGCGCCACAGCGGCAGGTTCAAAATGTCGTTGGGCGAATCGGATGGCTGAGGCGCCAGGACAATTTTGCCGTCTTTACTGTGCTTGAGGTGTGCGGTGTTTTCGACAGAGACATTGGCATCGTCGAAGAGCTGGATGCTGCCCTGGACTACTTCCGTGGAGGAAGGTTCAAGCACGCCAAAACCCATAATGCCTGGCCGAGAGATTCAATGGCTAAGAGATGAAGGCACAACAGCGCAGATGGTTCCAATGTGGTGGCTTGGCTGGTGAATGCTTGTGGTTCTTGGAAGTGTTCTGATCAGGACTTAGGGGGCTTGTCGCTCGATATACCTGCGAGTAGGATATGCATCGACGCGGAGTATTCGGGGTAGCGTGGCCATACCATGCATGCCATGTGGGTTTCCCCAGATGTTTCCCCCTTGGTACCCCGATCCATCGGCGCTGATCGCGGGGTAGTAACCGAGTTAATCCATCGCATCAAATAGTATCCCTGACTGATATGCTTCCCTTTGTACTTCTCAATTACCCCACCACTCCCCTCGTTTCCTATTTGAGCGAACAATATCTAGTGTCGATGTGGGGTTCAGGCGCTTTCGTGGAAATCGTGGTAGCAAGCATCCCGTATCGTTATGCTTAGAAGCGTTCGACGAAGTCGGAGAGGAAGTTGAGACTTTGGAGACCGTTGGAGGAGAAAAAATCCTGTTGCTGCCCCTTGATCTTATGACCCCTTTTGTGCAAGCACCACTGAGGCCCGCGACCACGGTATCGAGTGATCAGAAAGACCCGGTGAATCTGCCTGGCACGACAGCCCGTCGTGCTCTCTACAGTCTACGCCATGACATTATTGTTGAGTGCTACTCATGGCATCCCCGTATATGCTTACGCTGCCACTTGTGTGCTGCTGCTCGGAGCGGTCGCCACTATCTACCATGTCCTCGCTCTTGGAAGACCCAGAATCCCCAAAGGGTTGCGAGCCGTTCCCTCGCCACCTGGCGCACGACTCTTCAGCGGCCATTCACACCTCTACACTGGCAAAGTAGGAAACAATCCGAGCGAGTCCCAACTAGTCAAATGGGCCGAAGAGTTTGGCGAGATCTATCAGATTCAGATGGGAACCCAGCGTTGGGTCGTCCTCAGCTCTCCCGAGGCTATCAAAGTGAGTCCCGCTCGTTCCAGATCACACTGCACCAGAAACTCATGGAGGTCACAGGAAGTCTTTGATAGGCAAGGTACCTTGACATCAAGCAGAGCTGTCAATCGTGTTGCTATGGGTGTACTATCTGGTGGCTACCGTATGCTATTCATGGTACATACGGCCCTTGGATCACATCTTGCCAATACTTATGTGTGTTTTCATACAGCCATACGGAAAAGAATGGCGCGACATTCGTGCTATCGTCCATCGTTGCTTGACAGTCAAATCTGCAGATGGCATGAAACCTTCACAAGACCTCGAATCTCGACGTTATCTCTACGATCTCCTGACCGAGCCTGCCAACTTCTGGAACCACGTCAAACGGTACTCGACAAGCGTAATCATGTATGCAACGTATGGCAGACGGGTCGTTACCGTCGATGATCCGGTCCTCCATGATATATATACCGAGACAGGGATATTCGCAGAGTGCTTTGGACAGCTCCATTTGGTTGACCAGTATCCAATCCTGGAAAAGTTACCCAAGTCTCTACAGTGGTGGCGCAAGAAGTACGAGCCTTATCATCAGAAGGAGCTGCAACTCTGGCTCGGGTTGTGGAATGCCTTGAAGAACCAGATGGCTAAGGGAATTCGCACGGGATGTTTCGCAGAGAAATTTATGGAGGTTGACTATCCGAAGATGGGTATCTCGGAAAACCAGGCAGCCTATGTCGCCGGGACGATGATTGAGGCTGGGAGTGGTATACATGACCTCCCTGGATCTAAACGAGGTGGTGTTACTGACGATGAGCGATAGATACCACCCAACTTACACTCAACAGTTTGATCTTGGGACTTGTCGCGTTTCCAGAAACAGTCGAAAAGGCACACAAAGAGCTAGATCAAGTTGTCGGCCACCGGATGCCGACGTTTGAAGATTTCAACCGGCTGCCGTATATTCGTGCTATGGTCAAGGAGGTGCTGAGATGGCGCACTGCTTCAAATGATCATTTTCAACACGTTAGCACGGTCAGTCTCCCCGTCTTTCTTCATCGCTCATGGCTGAATTGATATCCAGGGTGATGTCGTCTACAAAGACTACTTCATTCCCGCAGGCTCATGCATTGTGGGCAACGTATGGGCTCTGAACTTCGACCCCGTCATGTTTCCCGACCCTCAACGCTTCTATCCAGATCGATACTTGGGCACAGTAGCCAATGACTTGACTGCTGGCGAGTGCATCAATGTGCAGGATCCTCGACAGCGTGATCACTGGGGGTTTGGCGCGGGACGACGTGTCTGCGCCGGATATAATTTGGCGGAGAACTCGTTATTTATACTCACAGCGCGGCTGCTGTGGGCATTTGATGTCAAGGCGCCGATAGACAAAGCTACCGGGAAGCCGCTGGAGTATGATCTGTGGGACTTTCCGGCGACGAATATGTTTGGTCCCAATCCCTTCAGGGCGGACTTCAAGGTC